CTTTCCTTCCCTTCCCCTCCTTTCCCTTCCCTTCCCTCTTTCCTTTCCTCTTTCCTCTACTCTTTCCTTTTCTCCTCTCCTCTCCTCCCCTCCCCTCCCCTCTGAGACCTCCCCTCCCCTCCCTTCTCCTCTTCTGTTCTCTCTCTCTCTCTCCTCTCCTCTCCTTTCATTTGTGCCAGTGCTGGGTCTTGAACTTAGGACCTGGAGCTGTCCCTTAACTTTTTTGCTCATGGCTGGCACTCAACCACTTGAGCTATACCTTCAGCTTCAGGTACTTTTTGGTAGTTAATTGAAGATAATAGTCTCATGGACCTTTCTGCCTGGAATGGCTTCAAACCCTTAATCTCAGATCTCAGCCTCCTGAGTGGCAGATTACAGGCATGAGCAATTGGCACCCAACAAGTCATAGTTTCTTAATATGAAATACTGGGTCTCTTAACATTTTTACTTACGTATAAAATGTACTTCAGTCACATTTACTTTCCAATGCTCTCTAATATTACATTCTCTCCTGCATATAAGTAATCCTGCTTGTATGCTTATGGCTTTCTGTTTGTTTATTCATATAATAGGTTTAGATCCTAAAAAATAAGAGAAAAGATACTATTTGTTTTTTTTTCTGATTCTTGCTTACTTAACATGATGACCTCTAGTTACAACTTTTTTTTTCTGAAGACAAAACTTCAATCTTTATGGAAAAATTCTACTTTGTTGTATATGTGGCAATAAGTTCTTTATTCATAAATTGTTGATCAATTAGGCTGATTCCATGATTTGTCTATGCAGGTGATTTAGAGGAATGACAGTAGCTGGAAAATCAGCCTAAGGGCCAATTGTATGATGAATGAATTAGAGAAAATTTGGTAAATACACAATAGAATATTTCTCAGCTATTAAGAAGAATAAAATTGTGTTGAGGCTAGAATGGATGGAATATTACACAAAATAAACCAGACTCAAAAAGACATACTGATTTTTTTTCTCCCTGAGTCTAGACCAAAAAATAAAATAAATGTAAAAGAGAAAGCGGCAGGAGTGAATATGGTTAAAAGAGACGGTGATGAAGGATGAATATCATTGAAGTACTTTATATGCATGTAAGAAAATAAAATGATTAAGCCTATTAACTTCTTTAACAATTTGGGAGATAGAGATAAAGAGAAAGAAAGGGAGTGAATTTGATCAAAGTACCTTATATGCATATATGGACATATCACAATAAAACTGCTTTGCATAAATAATATATGCTAAAAAATTAAGTAAAGGTATTTGCCAAGCACTACCAAAAACAATACTGAACAAAGTCTAGTTTAAGGGTCTAATGAACTCATCTGCCCTGTGGGAGATATTCACAAACACAGTATTGGGAGGTGCTTTGGAAGTGTATTTCCTTTGGGAATTATTTTTCACTTTGTGAACTTCCCCTATCAGCTATCTTTCTCAGGAAATGCAACTCCATGGGATCTGCTGGCTTTGAAGTACCCATGAATCTGAATAAAGAGGACATGATCATAATCAAAATTTTGTGATTTTCATGAATGAATATTACTCATGTCATGAATGAATATTACTCATGTCCCCATACAAGTAATTAGAACACACAGAGTTTTTGTTTTTTGTTTATGTGAACTGTTTTGTTTTGTCTTTATCAGGCTTGATATTTCAAAGGTTGAAATAACTGATTAGTAAGCCAGTTGCCTTTGAGAAAGCTATATTTCTTCCTCCCCATTTCCATAAGCTCTTTCCATGGAAATGGGTATCAGAGTCACATTGGTAAACATTATATAATTCACATTGTTCTATCCTCCTTCATTTGATATTGTCAGAACCTTGGAGTCAGAGCTGTCCAGGTGCACATCTGTACTTGGACAAATTTGGTTGTTACAACGGCAGCAAGTAAGCAACATGGCCAACACTGGTGTCTCCAGTAAGAGCATCTGAGAAATAATAGGATTTGGACTTGATGTGGCTTGGGTTGATCCAAAGAAACCACTGTTTCCACCTAGATTATGCTGTGTTCACAAGGGAAGAAAATGCAGAAATAGAGTTGTTTTATAGTAAGGTATCCCAACTGATCCCATCATGAAACACTAGTTGAGACACTAGTACAGGAATAATTCCATCAGTGATTGTTGTTGCTTTCTGAGCTAAGGGGAGAGATATGTGGTCCTTTGGGTTCAGGTTTCTTGGCTTCTTTTATCATGCTTCAGAGAAATCTTGTCTGAGGTTGGCCTTCTGTTGGTTGTAAAGGAAGGAGCACATGGATTCTGAAAGGCCAGGGCAGCTTGTGTGTGTTTCTTCTTATCTTCTCCTCACCTCCTCTGTATCAAAAGTGTTTTGACTACTATTCTTTTTTAATACATTGCTAGGATTTGTTGCTAGGTATCCTAATATACAAATATACAAATAATAAACAAATACTATATATCTGAACAACCAGCAAACTGTTTAAGAAAATGAACACCAGAAGTGGGAACATGTTTGGGGGAAGGGCAATGAGAAAACACCACAAAGGGAGGGAGGAAGGGTGCGCAAATGTTATAACTTTGATATGTGTGTATATATATTTATTATATTTAATGTTCCATTAAGTGAAAATTGAACTATGTGATTTGAGGGTAGGAATGGGAAGGGAAAATTGGGAAGAGCCATGGAAGGCTCTCCATTGATCAAGATACATTGTACTCATGTACTCATGATTTGACTTTTGGTATTGAAATCTTTTTGTATAACCACTTAATAGTCCTGTATATGTATATGTATATTACATACCAATCAAAAAGCTTAAGACATAAAAGATTACAGGTAAAAATATTTGAACATTTTTCTCAAATCCTAATCCCTTCTAGAAGGAAACTGTTTACTTGAACTTCATGTATATATTATTCTCAAGAATAAAATATTTTGTCTCTTTTAGAAAATACATGTGATGTTTTACAGTCTCCTTTCTTCTTAAGCATTAAAGAAGATCACTCTTCAATATATACTTACGATCATATTTTAAATTCTGCTATTGTTTTAAGTAGGCAATTAAGTGTTTATTATAATGACTGTGGAAACATGAGATACCATAGCCATCACTCAGAGCTTAAAGTCATACTTTTGAATGTACTGTTAAAAATCATAAGGGAATGTTATTATCATAGTATTGCATACTTTATTCATTTAGTGTTCCAGGTCCTATTATAATATAAGGTCAGGAGCCATTTGCTGGTTTTATGTAGCGGGGCATTTTTGACACAGACTGAGCTGCCTCATTTCATGTAGTAACAGACTATTTTAATTTCACGAAGCAAAGGATTGGGTCTGTCTTGCAAGTAGCATTCAAAATAAGTGGCTGAGCATATTGGGACACAAATCTGTTATGTCCAAGTTAAAACTTGCATTCCCTTTAACTTTAACTCTTCAATTTCTGTATGATTCAGCACTAATTAAATCCATAAATGGCTCCTGCATCTAACAGAATATTTACTTTCTGACAGGTAGTGTCAGAGGAAGAGGGGAAATATATTTGTCATAGGAGACCTTCCCTTAACACACACACACACACACACACACACACACACACACACCACATGAGCACGCATATGCTTGTTCCAACAGGCACAATGATGGGAAGAGGATGTAAGCAACTATTACTACCATACTTTACTTTTCTAATCAACTCTGATGATGAGTCTTGATGTCTCTTGCTTTGCTGATATTTCTAAAAGAAAGCACACTTATTGTATGGAATTTGTCATCAATGTTACTCTGTTTATTTTGAGTGAAATCAGGAGGGAAGAAAAAAATATAACATAGTGTTTGAACACCAAGATAGGGACACAAGAAGTTTTATCTTTGTTGCTTTTGTTTTTAATATACTTATAATGTACTATGTGAATTTTTTTGTTTCTTTTGTATGTTCTTCCTCCATAGTATAACCCCTGTTTTCAATGTATTTGATTCTGGTGCCTTGCATCTTGTATATACATTGTTCTAATTTGCAGAGGGGAAAGGAAATAACAAAATGCTGAAATAAGGATACAGGTTGACCCATTGTAACAATGAGATATATAAGATACTATGTTGAAAACTTTGCAACCTGGGTGAGGAGGGTGGAGTTGGGGAGGTGGGGAGGGAAGGGATGGTAGGGGAAAAACGAAGGAGGGGGTTAACAATGCTTAATAGGAAATGTACTCATTACCTTACTCAAGTAACTGTAACCCCTCTGCAGAGTAGCTTTATAATAAAAATATATATTAAAACAAAGATTTGATGCCCCTGCTCTGACATCCTGGGAAACAGTAACTGAGTTTCACTTAAGTCCTTTTTTTTTTTTTTTTGTCAGTTGTACGACTTGAACTCCTGGCCGGGGAGCTGTCCTTGAGCTCTTCAGCTCAATGCTAGCACTTTACCACTTGAGCCACAGTGCCACTTCCAGTTTTCTAGTGGTTTAGTAGAGATAAGAGTCTCACAGAAAGGTGGACGCTAGTGACTCGTGTGTATAATCCCAGCTACTCAGGAGGCTGATATCTGAGGATCGAGGTTCAAAGCCAGCTTGGGCAGGAAAGTTCATGAGACTCTTATCTCCAATAAACCACTAGAAAACCAGAAGTGGCACTGTAGCTCAAGCAGTAGGGCACTTGCCTTGAGCAGGGACAGTGCCCAAGCTCAGAGTTCAATCCCCACAACCGACCAAAAAAAAAAAAAAAAAAAAAGAGTCTCACAGACTTTCCTGACCAGGCTGGCTTTGAACCATGATCCTCAGATCTCAGCCTCCAGAGTAGCTAGGATTACAGGCATCAGCCACTGGTGCCTGGCTAACGTAAGTCCTTCATTAGGTGTTAGGAATGTATAATACACAGAAACACTGATACCCAGATGGCATCCATGCAGATGTTTGGTTTGCGCAAATGGATCAGGTTTTCAGGCAAATGGTAGAGAGGCTAAACCTCCAGAAGGTCTATATGAAGTGGTGTTTGCCCTTCAGTACTGACCTTGTATTCTCCTTGCTGCAGGGGAGCATTTGCGGATCTGTCCTCAGGAATATACCTGCTGCACGACGGAAATGGAAGACAAGTTAAGCCAACAAAGCAAGCTCGAGTTTGAAAACCTGGTGGAGGAGACAAGCCATTTTGTCCGTACCACATTTGTGTCAAGGCACAAGAAATTTGACGGTAGGCAAAAGAGTTTCCACTTCACTTCCTTACTGGTGTGCTTTTCTACAAGAATGCTTCTGGGCTATGAAAAGTGTGTTTTGTAACCAGAGATTTTTTTTATTCATTCCCTCTAAACATTTATAGTTTTGTCTAGTCTTAGATAAAGCCTGAGCCTTCTTGACAGTATATTTTTATAGTAATATCTTGGAAAAAAATCTGAGTTAACAAAGAACTGTTTTGCATGTGTGCTTTGCCTTTGTGATTTATTCTGAAAGATTCCACTCCTTTTTTTCATTATTTGAGTGATTCTAATTCAAGCTTTGTCACACAGTAGCTTGTCTTCAATTTTCATGTGGGGATTTTTCTTTCTAAAAAAATGTGTCACTTAATATTATGTGAAATAGAACATCACTTTTTAAGAGGACAGGCTTGTCTTAACTGCCAAGGACACAGAGTGCCTTATTGTAGAGTTTATCTATCACTGCAGTGTGTCACACGTTACAGAGCAGTTATGATTCTCCATGTGAGGATACATTTCAAATAGATTTAATCTCTCCTTTGATTTCTTGATTATGAGCAATTGACTTTTTATAGCCCAGTTTTAAAATAAATATTTCATATTAGGAAGCACAGAGTAACAACAGGTTTTCCTAGGATTGCAACATCAGATTTTCTCATTGGAGCCTCAGAGAAATACGCAAATGCAGTATGATTTCAAAATATGCAAGAGTGTTAATTATTTTTAAAGTATAGTTAGTATTTTTGGCAAGTGTATAACTTTTAGTGCTTAAAGAACTCAATGTACCCTATTATAAGTCATTTACAAATTTTGACATGCCATCCTTATTGCCCATTTGATGGACTCCGTTTTTCTCCGGCAACAGAGCTAGTTTTCCTGTCGTTCATCCTCTAGTCAATGCATAGAGCCAATTAGTAAAAGTGTTGTCAGCCAGGCACTAGTGCCTTATGCTTGTAATCCTAGCTACTCATGAGGCTGAGATCTGAAGATCAAAATTCAAAACTAGCCAGGAAGATAGGAAGATAGGAAACTCTCCAATTATCCCCTCCCCCTGCCCTCCCCCTCCCACAAAGCCAGAAATGGGTCTGTAGCTCAAGTGGGAGAGCACTAGCCTTGAGCACAAAAGTTCAGGGACAGTGTGCAGGCCCTGAGTTCCAGCCCAGAGACCATCACCAGCACCCCCTCGCCATATACAGACACACTCACAAAAAAACACAATTAAATAAATAAAAATAAAAGAAACAGAAAAAGGATTGCCAAAGTTTTTTCTTTCACTTTTCTTTTTAGTAGGTAAAATGTTCCATTGCTGCTTTCATCTTTTTTATTGTGACTATTACTATAATGCTAACTTCTTTCCAATTAATTCATCAAGTTTTTGAAAGATGATGTCTTCAGTAGGCAGTGATGTCTTCCTTGTTATAAGGACTTACTCTTTCTGTAAGGGACTCAGTAGCTACATTGTTCTTTATGGACCTGTATGAAAGTAACTCCTTATGTCCATGTAGTGCTGTGAATGTTGTGGCCTTGAATGCAACTAGAGAGTATTTGAGGGTTTCCCTGGTTTGATAGATTTCACATCTAGTGGCTTTCCAAGAACTCCTCGTGGGACTCTGTGTTTGGGAGCCGACAATCTGTCATTGCAAATTGAGGCAAATTGAGACGTTTTATCGTTTGCTACAGAAAGCAGGTGAGAGTCATCTACTGATTTTTATCTATGTCTTTGGGAAATAATGATAGTGCCTTCACCCAGCTGTGCTCCGATTGGTGCTGCAATCATTGGAAGGCAACATCCACAGTAAACAATATATATTGCTTTTAAGTAAAATATTAGCTGTTAAGTAGTTTATAGTGAATTTCTTTCTTCCTTCTTTGTTCCTTCTTTCCTTTCTTCCCTTCTTTTCTCTCCTTCGTTCCTTTTTCCTTCCTTCCTTCTTTCTTCCTTTCTTTCCCACCCCCCTCTCTCTGCAGCTTTTTTTGGTGGTGATTTTAGACAAGAAATAAATCTGTTTAACAAGCCTGAGTGAGATACTTTTGATATGATATCAACAAAGCTTAATACCTTTCGGTCTATAAGACTTAGTCCCAGATCTCATTTGTCTTAATTAAGAAACCTCTCCCTTTCTCTATCCCTTCCCTTTTACAGGTGTATTTTAGATCATGCTAATGTGCTTAGGGGTCTAATGTCAGTCACTTTGACAAGACATTGATTTTGCTCAGGTTGGAGTTGACAAAGGGGTGATGAATTCTTCAGTCACACTGCTGTTCACTGTGGTTGCATTAACCTGCCATGGGAGAGAAGTTAAGTTTTTCTTGTATGAAGATTTCAGCCAGACTTTTAAACAAAATCTAAATGTGATATTAGTGAATCCATTCATGAAAAGCTTATTCTTTCAATAATGCTAGAAAGTATATCAATTGAAAAGTCACCATTGGGTTTTTCTGCCCTTCTTTGGCCAACTTCACTTTGCAGTTGTGTGATTTAGCTAATTCTACCAGAGAGGGAATCTGTTTGTGGATGCATGGTGAGTAGTGGTGCATTCATAAGGAATGTTTTTCTATTAGCTTATGCGTGTGTGTGTGTGCACTTGCACATACATATGTGTACGTGTGCTGCTACTGATGGAACCTACAGTCTTGTGCATGCTACGCATACAGTCTTGTGCAAGGAAAGCATGGCATACTCATCTATAACCGAAGCTCTTCCTTGGGCCCTTTATTGTGGCATTTCATTGTGGTATTTGCCGATGATAGCAGTTGGTGTGAGCACAGGAGGAAGACCTAGGATCCATTGTGGACTATTGTTATTTGGGTTTTATTTTCTTACACAAAACCATTGGTGCTGTAAGGACTTGGATTTATATTTAGTGACTTCCAATTTTGTGTAGGTCATTTTGTATTAGGTGCTTTGGTCTTAGAAAGGTACTCTGGCTCAAGATTCTGTCTATGGTTCCAGTTTCTCAGCAATCTGGTTTGGTCATTTGTATTTTTTGCATTATAGGTTTGTATGGTGTAAAAGATGAGGTTGGTTTATGAAATACTACTGCCCAATTAAGAAAAGAAGGCAAGGACTTCTACTTTCATTAAGGAAAGCAACCATTTCATTTGCAGCTAATATACGTGATCCAGTCCATAATATATTCAAAGAGAATAAATTAATTCACTCTAATTATTAGTCTCCCCTTTTGGTTTCATTTCTTTTATTGGAAATCCCTTGATTCCCTTTAAATTCTTACATGCTGACAGTGGTAAATTCAAAATCCCAATATACTTCACATGAAACTCCCTACTGTTAATAGCCAAATTCTTTCCTAACTTTTAATTAAGATTTTGGGTAATAGCAAATATTACTATGTGTAATGACACATATTTATTGGATGTCAGGAACCTAGTCCTGAATCAACATGAATTATTTCCCTACTTTCTTAAATCACTAAATATGCTCTGCAGCCTCATTAGTGCTAACATTTACAGCTGGGAAAAAAGAGTTATCTATGTCACTTCCGGAAACTTTATCTTTGGCAGAGAATCCACTTATTACTTCCTTTATAAACATAAAATTGCAGTCCTATGAAATATATCATAGATACTTATTTTCTTAATATTGATTCTGCCCCACGTGATGCATAGATTTTTTAAATTTATTTGTTTGTGTGTAAGCATTTCTCATTTCCCAGGCATGTCTCCACCTTTCCTCTTACACACATCTGTTCTTGGTCCTCACCCTTTGGTCTGGGGCCCTGTCACTACAGTGCTTACCTAGACCTATACAAGGATGCACCCAACTTGCTCTGTAGCCAAGTCCAGCTTGTCCGTTGTTCCCTCTGGTTAGCGCTGTACCCAAACACCCAGCCAAGTCTATCTGGCAGAGTGATTATATTATTCCTTACTCTCAATTTTGTCATCTCTGCTCAACCTAGCACTAGCACTGGCACTAGCTACAGTTCTGTGTTTTGTGGCCATTGGGCCTGTCAGTTTGGCCTTTGTACCTGGGTCCTCACTGCTTTTGTGTTCCCAAATGTCTCCTGTGAATGGTGGGCAATGGAGAAGTAAACATTCTGATAGTCTTAACAGAAACACAAGGCAGCACCTGGCCTCATTTCTTATTCTAAGGTGCTATAACCATTTATCAGGAATAAGTGCAATGCAAAGGCACAAAACATCAAGTGCCAAGAGTCAGGATTCTGTTCTGGGTTGGGCACACCTGGATCGCTGCCCTTAGCCACCTCTACCCCATAATCTCCACGGTTGTTTTCCAGTTTCCAAATGTGCTGACAATTCCTGGCCAATGAGCTGTCCTTCTATCTCCCCTGCTATTTTGGGAAGGAAGTGGAAGTGACCATCAGAGAAAAGTAGAAAGAGATGATTACTCCCCTAAGTATAGTCCAGCTCCCAAGAAGCCTGGAGCAGAGCCTCGAGAGAACTTGCCAACTTTCCACCAAGAATGAGGAGAGCAAAATGATCACCTATTACTTACATTATCCCATAAATAATAAGTTATAGGAAATCCATATTTGGTTGAAACTCTGACTAAGCTTTTACTTGTTTGGAGTAGAGAGTAGTCGGAAAAAATGACTACAATTTCTTTAACATGGCAATAATTGTGTTTTGGGGTAAGACGCTAGCCACATTTTTGGAAAAGCCAAAACCAGTACTGAATTGGAAGCTATTCTTCAAAGGGAATGCAAAAAATGTTATTAAATCAATGAAAGCATATTATTTTCTTTGCTTTCTAAAATCTAGTGGTTTCTATCTTGATGAAGGAACAAGTTTTGTTTGCCCCAAGAAAATCAGTGGAATACAAAATTTTCATAGAGGAAAATTTGCCTGCTTGTATGTTTTATTTTTTTTTAACCCCTTGGATTTATTTGAACTGAATTTTGTTCAGACTCGGGGCTCCATATGAGGGTTTTGTTTACTATGTGGATCTGATTATTTTATTTTTCTTCCTGGCTCTTATTTATGTATTTTAATGTTATACATTTGTCCGAAGAATTTGGCA